AAGATCAAATTACCTTAAATGGAAATTCATGCAAGCAAAATTATCCAGACTTATATAAAACTTTAAATGGAAAGCTATGTGATCTTAAGAAACAGGGTAAGATTTCTACAAAGAAGGCTGACACACTTTCACCAGATGAAATCAAGCAAATTCAGCAATTAAAACAAGAATTATATTTAGCCAACAAGTCTTTACAAGCATTACCAAGGAAAAAGAATAAACTACTACAGTTTACAAAAAAGATAAGTGAGAAAATTCACTTAAAAAAGAAACAAGAACAAATAATTGAAATAAAACCTAAGCAAGCCAAACCAACTCATACTAATTCTTTTTTACCAAATCTTTTTTTTAAAGCTCCGAACGAGCCGAGCCGAATTTATGCTTAGTTTGAGCTCGACTCGAGCTCGAGTATGCGAGTTCGAGCCAGCTCGCACATAGAAAAGTGCTAGCTCGAACTCGGCTCGAGCTCGAGCCAACTCGAAATTTAATATTATTTTTTTATAAAATCACGATTTTGCAAAACACCGAAAATAATCGAAGCAATAATAAACTATAATAATTTGTATAAGTTTAGAACATTTGAATTATCATAAATAATTTTATGACACTAAAAAATTCCGAAAATTTAAAATGAGAACAATGCTTTTTAGGTTCTGGAATATATGTACAAGAAATTGCATTATACTAAAATTACTAATCACGGTTTAATGAATTTTATGTTTTAAAAATTCATAGTAACGCGAAATTTGTTGAAACTGTATAAATTTTACAATGTTTGCTCAAATATTATTTGTAGAGAATTAAAACGAAATGCAACCTGTTTAAAAAATCTTTATTATCAGCTAGAATTCCTATTCGTAATACAAATCCTCATTCGAATTATTCGTAATACAACTCAATTAATTCGAATTATTAGTTTTAGTTTATTTTATTCGTTTATGCGTTTATTTGAATTATTCATATTCATTTTTATATTATTCGAATTATTCGAATCATTCAAATCATTCGTTTTGTTCGTCTATTCGAATCGTTCGAATCGTTCGTTTTATTCGTTTATTCGAATCATTCGTTTTATTCGTGTATTCGAATCGTTCGTTTTATTCACTTTATTACTTAAGTTGAGCAACCTCGAGTTAAAACTTGAATTTTCAAGAAAATAGGCTCTTAAATTTTTTTTAGGTAATGTGCATAAATAAAATTAATCATTTGTTACTTTAAAAAAAAATATGTGACGTCAGACTTGAGACTGGCTCGAGCCGATTCTGCTAGTTCGGAGCTTTACTTTTTTTAATATCTTTAATCTTTAAAAGATAATATATTCATTATATTATTCTAAAATTAGACAGCAAATTATTTCTCTACTGATTTTCTTTTCTTTCTGGGTTCTGTGTTAATGTTCTTAGTGTTTATTATTTTTCTTCCTTGGTAAATTTCATAATAATAAGTAATCTTTTCTTTTCTTAGATAAGTTTCAATTGCCTGAGTATCATTTATTTTGAAATGTAAAGCGCAATTTTTTCACCTTGTTCCTTTTTAAAATACTTCTAATGGTGCTGTAATTTTTGGTTCCATAATAGATCTGATGATAATAATAATAACTAAATTTTGATCCCTGAAATCTTTGGTAATGCCAATGTTCACTTTATATTTACATATGTAAATATTAAATCAATATTTTTAGGATATTTCAATTAATTTTTCAGTATGTTCAACGGATCAACCAGTTAAAATTTCATCTAATACTTGCAACCCTTGATCATAAAAAAATTATTTGTGCTCGTTACAATACTGTTTTGCATATTCACTCATGTAAAGTGTCAATTTCAGTTAAGATTAAATATAAGTTTATATGAATACAACAGAATTTTTAAATGGTAATAGTTTTTTAATTAAACGATTTTCTTTTTTTTAGTCTCTTTTACATCTTATAGATAAGAAAACTGGTAGAAAATCTAAAAGACCTCCACAATTTGTTAAAAAAGGTCAAAAGGAAAACTTGAAACACCAGGCCCAATTTGTCTAGAGGCATTTGCAGACTATCCCAATGTTGGTTGATTTGGATTTTTTTAATAAAAAAAATTCGCTATCGATCACACTCTTCTATATCTGCGCCATGAGACAAACATCTACTATTTAATCAATCTTTACGCAGTAGGTAGAGTTTTTTCAGTGGCAATGTCGTCGCATTCTTCAATTCTATTATTATAAAAAAAAAATTAAAATAAATATACGTTAATTTTTTTAAAATAAATTAAAAAATCGCTCAAAAAAAAAAAAAATGGTACATTTATGGCTTCGTGCTGAAACAAAAGCTGATGAACATCGAGCAGCTTTAACACCAAATACAAGCAAACAATTAATTCAAAATGGTAGTGAATTTTTCCCCAATGTCATTTTGTTGAACTTTTATGCTTGTAATAATACTTTATATGTGTTTATGTTTATGTTTATGTTTATGTTATGCGTATAGGCTTTAAAATCACAGTAGAAAAATCTACGCAACGTATTTTTGATGATGAAGAG